CAACCAGAGCTGGACAGCACACTAGATTTCAGACGAGGAATGTGAAACCCAGAGAGGTGAAGTGATTTGTTCAAGGTTCCCACTAATTAGGTTAAGACCAGAAGATCTTCTGCGTGTACTTCCAATACTGCTTCAATTGTGACGGGAAACCTGTTACCATGCCCCATGCAAGTTCATTTCCCCATCTGTAAATCAGGAGGCTAGACTAGGCACGGGTTTTCAAGTTGTGTTGTGTGTCCAAGTTGTTTCAAGTTATTGTTTGTCCAAGGGATTTCTGCCAGTCACCTTCCCTCTTCAAGTAAAGAATCTCCAAGTTATGTATTTCAAATAATGCGAAAAAGAAATTTTAAACAACTAGACTAGATGGTCAATAAAATGTCACATCGACTGGGTAAATTAAGACACCTAGCTGGTGAATGACAACAGTCACAGCAGATCACAGGAAGGCCCTGCAGGAAGCTCAACACCTCTCAGAAGGCCCCCACAAACTGAAGATGTGAAAGCAGAAGATACCAGAAGGAGATGGACAAACACTCTCACCATGTCAATCTCCAACTGTATTGACCTGCTGTGTCTCCCTGTCACACAGAGACTGCAGAAACACCTATGAAAGCTGCAGTTTACGGTCATCTGTGAAACCCTCACTCCTCCCAGGCTGTCCTTTGCCAAAAGCTACCATCAGGCCCATGGACAACCTCTTCCGTGTAACTCGTATCAGGAAGCATGACTCTTCTGATTTTTTTTTTTCCACTGTCCTAAATGCTTTGGCCTTCATCATGCTAAGAAAAAAGAGAAGATGGGTAAGGGAAGGGGGACATGGTCAAAAGAATAGTTTAAAAAAAAAAAAAAAAGGAAGAGAAGAACTCTGATTACACTAGTATTACAGAGATTTTCTCGGCACTGCAGGAGCCCTTGAAGACCTGTTACTACATAGAAAACAGTCATCTACTGCCATCTCCTGCTCCACACCCCACCCCCGACTGGCATATTAACTGTTCCAGAAGGCCAAGGCTACCACCTCTGATTTCTGTAGCACCCAATTCCATCATGAAAGCAAATGCTGACAGTGAGGTTGAAGCCTCTGCTACCATCAGAGAAATCTGACAATCTTTTTAACACCAGTTACCAGTTTAGGAAGAAAAATCATCCCTTTGTTCTTCTGTCTCCTCTCTTCCTATTATGTAAACTTAGGCTTTGGCCATGCAGAAACTTTCTGTGCTGCCAGTGACGTTAAAACTCTAAAACACAAATTTAAGCAGTGCTGCACACACAACTGTCTTAACTAGCTAACACTTTCCCATTAAGAATAAAAAACAACTATTTATACCAACACGGAAAACATAAACTCTAAAATAAATTCAGAGACTGAGTCATGATTCACAAGGCCAAAATTCAGAAACGAATGGAAATCAACAGAAAGATGAACCAAAATTCTGTAAGTCAATAATGGTGTGTGTGGGGGGGGACAATAATGGTGAAGATACATGCTGTAGATACTTAAAATTACCAGACTCTGTCAGAAAATTTAAAGTCCTAAGAACTCAGAAGCTAAAGGAACCATATGATCTATGATCTAGCCCCCTTTATCATAGACAAGTACCCTAACATTTGATAAGTCAATGGTCCAATTCTGTAGATAACAGTGAATGCTTTTTTATTTCAAGTGTTCACACAGAACTATTTCTAAATAAATGCTGAAGTAAACAAAGTTTGATCATAGCTCAGTTAAATAAAGTCCTTCCAGTAAATGCTCCTTCACAGCTGGATGGCTGCTTTAATATGCAATTGCCCTAGGCCACAGGGGGAAAAAAAATCAGGCTTTTGATTTACTTAAGAAATAAAATAAATAAACCTAGAACATGCAAAGGTTCCCTCTCCCAAGTTAAGGACAGAGAATGGTTAGATGCCTTTTCTGTAAAAAAAAAACAAAAAACAAACACCTCTTTCTCTGAATAGATTTCTTAAACCCCACCCCCAACATAAGATCACTGAAGAAAAAGCTCCAAGAAAGGTAGCTAAGGTACATTTCTCAGGTAATAAGACCAAAAATCCTTTCGTATCAGCCAGTTCCTGGCACCCTTTCCTCACTCTACCAAATCAGGTCACTCACAAGGCTTGGGGACTGTCAGGGCCCACCCACATACTTCTTGTACACCAAAGAGCTCCCCCACCCGCCAGCATGGATCTGCCCAGAGGCATTCAACTCCTGTGGCTGGGAGCGCCTACAACACCAGAGGGCAGAAATCTGAGTGACATTTGGCACTCTCTCTTTCAACAAACAACCGCAACGGGCTTTCCAAACTCAGGCCGTAATCATTTTGAAGACCAGGAAGCTGGAGCCTTCCTGGGGCAGAGGTGAAAAGAAATAAGCCCACCCTCCCAAAGGTCACACTGCAAACCAGAGGCCATTAGGGAAGAAGGCAAGACTACAGCTTCTGCAGCCCCAGAGCAGTAAACACCAAATGGGGCTATTACCCCCTGTGGGATTGGGGAGAACTTGAGAACTAGCATTTCCCCAGCCAGAAGTAAAACAAAAATAAGACTGTCATGGGGGGGGGGGGAAGCACACTTTTAAGTTCTCCTAAGGGGTGCTGGCTTGGAGGTGGAAGGGGGGAGAGAGTACAACTGTCTTTTTACAACAGCTCAGAGGAGGGAGGGAAAGTGAGAAAGAAAGACCTGTGAGCGGCTGCACTCTCCTGTTCCAAAGGACACAAAGCTGCAAAGCCCAGGGATCTGAAGGGGCTGGGGAGCAAGATGGGAAGGAGGAAAAAAAGGCGGGGGCAATGGAAACAGACCTACCCCCTCACCATCACTAACCTTGGTAGAAGTAGGGAAAATGGGGGCAACAGTCCCACTCCAGACAGCAGTAACCAGCCAACCACCCCCCACCTATTTATTTACCCAGACCTCAGGATCCCTGGGGATAAAACCCTGAGGGTCAGGGTGCCCACTGAATCTGCAGTCTAAACCAGAGCCTAGAGAACCCTAGGCCCAACCCAGCCCCTTCCCCTCCAAAGCTGAGGACTGGAGGCTAGAGGAAGACAAGCCTCAAGAGGGGAAGCACTCAGTGGGAATGGGCGGGTCAAGAATGGAGAGCTGGAAGAAGCAAGCCTGACAGGAACCTAATGGGAAGAGAAGGAGATTGGCAGGACACAAAGGGGGGGGGGGAAGGTGAGGAAACAAGTCAACGAGGAACAGAATTGGGAATTGGGTATCAAAAGGGAGGGAGAATCTATCCAAGAACTGAAATGGCTCCAAGAGGGAGCTGGGGGGGTGGGGAGGCAGCCGGTGATAGGAAGGAATGGTTGAGAAGATATCCCTACTACTGGGCAGCACTGGGAGAAAGAGAACTCAAAAGGGAGCTAAAAGGCAGGACAAAGGAGGGAGAACAAATACAAGAAAGGGAAGAGCGGAGGTTGAGGGCTGAATCAAAATGGTCGGGGGTGGAGGAGGTCAGGTGGAAAACTTAGAATTGAGAGAGACACAGGTGGGATGCAATCACCAGAAGACCGGAATTAAAGAGAACCACTCCGACAGGGAACAGCAAGAGTAAAGCTAAAATGGGTCAAAAAGACAGGTGAGCAAGTGGACAGCTCCGAAAGGGGCAGAGCTGGGAGAAAAACGTTAGAGCGGATGGCGCACAGCTAACAAATGCAAGAGCAAGTGCAGAAAGGATTTGGGGCAGGTCTATGAGATGCAGCGAAATGGGAAGGAAAGGGGGCGATGGGTCAGAGAAGTTATCAAAGATTTAGTGAGGTAAAGGGCAAGTCCAAGGAGGGCCAAAATGGAGAGGAGAAGACTTAGAGAAAGATGAGGCTGGAAACAGGTCTCAAGCAAAGAAGAACGGAGAGGGAAACAGGTCAAAGAAAGGGGGAGCAAATGAATGACACAGTTCAACAGTACCAACGAGGAGGTGGAGAGGAGAGGAAACCGCAAGGAGAACACTGGGCAGCACTGAGGCTGCGGACAGGCTGAGTTAGGTCAGAGAAGTGAATGGCAGAAATGAGAGCTGCAGGGTCATAGAGGGGCGAGGAGGCTGCTTCATGGAAGGCAGAGTCGGAAAGCAAGCAGGTTAGGGGGGCACAGCAAGATCTGAGATTGGGCAAAGGGCAGATCGGGTAGGTAGAAAGGTCTGGAAGAGAAAAAAAGGGTCTGAATGGCAAATGGGAGCAAGATCTGAGAAGGAGAGGAGGTGAGCATGGTGCATCCGAGTCCGAGAAGGGGCAGGGGACTGAAGTGAGAGGCATGCAAGGGTCGGAGAGCTTAGAGGCATCCCGGGGGTGCAGCAGGTTCCGCGAGTGGGCAGCAAGGCCCAAGAGGGAGATGGAATTAAGTCCAAGGAGAAGACCTAGGGGCAGCAGTGCCAAGATGAACAAGGTCTCGGATGGATCTCCAAGAAGGTGGAACCGCAGGTCCTAGAGGGACAGTTCCTGGGGGTGCACCAGAGGACGGATAACAGTAGATGGGTCAAAGAAGGGAACAGATCTGGAGGGTGGTGAGACTGGAACTGAAGAGGGGGCAGGCAGGCGGGTCACGAATCTCAAAGTGAAGGTCCAGAATTAAGAGATGCAGAAGGATCACTGAGGAGGTGGGTCCCGAGAGCACTGCAGAGTCCATGAGGGGCGAAGCGCATTACTGAGGGGCGGAAGAGGGAAGGGGGAGGCGCAGAATTGGGAGCAGAGTGGCTTAAGTGAGGAGGGGGCGGCCGAAGCGGACACCGAGATCCCAAACGGGTCGGAAGGTAGGGGCAGACGCGGGGACAGCAGGGCTGGGGCGAGCAGGGACAGGTCCGAAGGGCGGGCGAGCCCCGCGGGCCGGGCCGCAGCGCGAGGCAGCGGGGCCAGCGGGGCCCGGGGGGTTGGGGGGCCGCTCCCTCCCCTCCCCCTCCGGCTCCTCCATTGTTCGCGGGCTCCGGGCCCCGCCGTCCCCGCCTCCCCTTGGACCCCGCAGCGGGGCGGCGCCCGGCCTCGCCGCCGGGGCCCGCGAGCTCGCGCACTCACCAGCTGGGCGCCCTCAGCGCGGCTCCGGCCTCCAGGATCCCAGCAGCGGCGACGGCGGCCCCGGCGCCATGTTCTGCTGCTCCTCGTCCAGCGGCGGCTGAGGCGGCGGCGGCGGCGGCGGCTCCGGCGGCGGGGGGCCGGGCGGACCCTCCCTCGCGGGCTCCCTCCTCCGCCTCCTCCACCTCCTCCTCCCGCCGCGCCGCGGCTCTCCCTCGGGGCGGGGGGGCGGGGAGGGGAAGGGGGGAGGGGCGGGAACCAGGGGGAGGGCGGACCGGCCTCGCTTGCTCGCTCCCTCCCTCCTTCGCAATGGCGGCGGCGGCGCCTCCTTCCTGCAGCCGCCGCTCCCGCGCGCGCGCGCTCCTCGCTACTGCGCGTGCGTGGCGTGCGGACCGTTGCAGGAGGATAACGGCCCCTGGGCGCGCGCCGCAAGGGGATAACCGGCGCCGGGCAGCAGACGAAGCGAGGGCGTCTAGGCGCCCAAGGGGCTCAGTGCCACTACCGCGGTCTCTGGCTGGGAACGGGCGCGGAGGCCATAATGCGCGTGCGCCTCAAAGAAATGCCGCTACTGCGGTGGCTGCGGCGCGAGACAGCACCAGGCAGCCTGCGCCCGGGCAGAGGGAATGGGATGGGCAAGTGCGCGTGCGCGGGAGGGACTGCCTGGCGCGAGGCGGAGGGAGTGGCCCGCGGGAGTAGCGCGCGCCCTTGCGCGCGCCAGAGCAGCCGATCCCCTCCTGGCGGGGGCTCGTGGAGAAAGCGGGAGGGGAGAGGCATGGCCCGGCTTTGGGGGCGGGGGCGAAGGGCGCGATCCCGCTCGCGCGGGACCTGACCAGCCAATGGGACGCAAGGGGAGGTGGGTTTGCCGCGCGAGCCTCAGCCCCTGGGATAACGGAGGAGGTGAGATGGAGCGACGTAGCGTGGGGCGGTGGGGAGGTGCTGAGGAGAAGGGAGAACACCCAGCGAGGGAGTTGATTGGGGAGCACGAGGAGGCGTGGCCCGTCTCAGCCCGTTCCAAGCCTGGCAATTTGTCGTTCCGGAAGAAGGGGCAGGGCTAGGGAGCGCGTGCTCTTTCCCTCGGCAGTGAAGAAATTCTGCAGGCAATGCGCACGTTGATACGACTTGCTCTGGGTTCTGTGATCGCTCGAAATCCGGGAGAGGGACAAGGGTCCGCTCCTGCGGGCAGGCCTGACCTCCAAGTCAGCATTGTGCAAATGACTGCAAATCAAATGTCAGTTCTGGCCCGTGCAGTGTAAACTTAGTAGTGATGGGAAGGGGCACCGCCATAACCTTTAAGTTCTGAACTGAGGAGGGGTTCCTGTGGGACCCCTCCGGAAGTACGCATGGTGGAAGATGAGCGTTCTGGGCACCGAGTCAATATTTACGGAATGCATGAAGAAGGGCTGTTTCCTGTTATATTTTGCGTTTCTTTCCTCAGTCTCTTCATCTCCAAAATGGATTAATAATTGTACCTCCCTCATAGGGTTGCTGAGAGAATTAAATGAGATATATTTGTAAAGTGCTAAACTTTATTTCTTTTTATTTTACTTATTTTTTTAAGTAATCTCTACGGCTAATATGGGGTTCAAACTCACAGCCCGGAGATCAAGAGTCACATGCTTCACTGACTGAGCCATCCAGGTGCCCCTCATGTCCTTAAGTTTTAAAATATCCATTAAATAAAGGTTTTTTGGTTACTGATCAGAGTCCTTTCCCTTGACTTTTTTAACTTAGCGTTTTTTATGCATATAATCTGGTTTTTAGATGTCTGTGATTGTTTTTTTGTTGTTTTTTAAGTCTAAGTTCTGTAAGCCAAACTCATCAAGTGCATGGCCCAGGTTTTCTTTACACTGTCACCGCAAACCTTGGTTTAGAAATGATTTTGAGATCACTTAGGGAACAGCAGATTCCCCACAAATTAATACATCTTTATAACTCCAATGCAATGTTCAGGTGGTTCGATTCTTGGAAAGACTGTGAACTGACAGCACCCAGAATAAAGAACACTGGCTTCACTCTGGACCTAAATGTCCCTCTCCCTGTCTTTTGGAGCCTGTCAACTCTACCTTGTCCTTTGAGTCTCAGCTTAACCTCACTTCCTCAGAGTGGCCTCCCAGATTTGGTCGGTCTGACTCCTTATTTGATGAAGACAGTATTCTATGCTAGGCGACATTCTAAAACACTTTAAACATATTAACTCACTTAATCCTCAACATCTTATGAGTATGTTACAGTTGTTATGATTCTACTAAACTAAAACACAGGGAGGTTATGCAGCTAGTCAGTGGCAGATTTGAAATTCAATCCGACAGTGAGGGTCTGATGACTACAAACTTACTACTTCTTCTAGCACTGCACCAGGGCCTGAAGTTCTGTATTGGTATCACCATTTTATGTGTGAGCCCTTTGAAGGCAGGGACTCTGTCTGGCTATTTCTTCAGTCTGGCAAATGGCCCACCATAAATACTCCTTAATGAATAAATGAATGAATCCCATACTAAACAATGGGGATGGCTGAAAAGACAGAGCCCTTGTCTAATGACTAACTCCTACCCCTCTTTCAGACACTAGTTCATAATGACCCCTCATCCAGAAGGCCCTCCTAACCCACAGGCTTGGTCAGGCACTCCCTCTAGGCTCCCAGAGCCCCTTTGGGTCCTCCATCCAATCCCTGACCGCTCTGGGTTTTCCCTGTCGTGATGGGTCTTTCTCACCAGACTGTGAACCCCGTGAGGGCAGGACCGGGGCTGTCTCAGCCAATGTTGATGTATCCAACACAGGTCAAGGCACGAGGCAGGGGCTCATGCAGTGTTTCCTTGACGGAATGATCGGAACTATCAAGGAGCGCCTTCCCAGCTCTGCAATTCTTTCCAGTGCGCTGGAGGGCCGGTGTTAGCTGAACAAGCCTACCACAGGAAGCAGGCTTCCCTGGGGGCAGCCGCCCCCGCACACCCGGCTAGCCTCCACTCCAGGATAAATAAACAACCGAGTAAACAATTAGCTGACAGAAGTGCCGACTGCTGGCCTGGGCCTCTGTCAAGATTTCCCAAGCATCACCCCGAAAGGCCCCGAGAACTGGACGTCACACCAGCCAGAGAGGCAGGGTAGGTACGAGGCGGGGTCTGGGGTGCCGGACCCTGATCGGAGAGAGGCACAGCCAGAAAAATTCACCAAAGAGTTTTGCAAAGAGGGTGAATGTGCTGGAGCAAATTCTCTCTACATTCCTCAGAGCCTGAAAGAATCACACAGGGTGGAGACCAGGTCTGCGCTCGTCCAAAAGTCAGTGAGCTCACAGCGCCTCCTATAAACCGAACTGGGGAAGCAGCGTCTCACTGATGCCGCGGGGGATGTCAGAGAGCGCTGAACTCTTCCGCCATTGGTCGGAAGAGCAGCCAATCGCGAGGAAGGAACGGGAGGCGGGGATGCTCGGATTCACGGCTGGATCCCGTGGCCCTGGCCAGTGGCTGACAAGTAGTGGGCACGCGCTAAATGGCTGATGGAAGGGTGGATGATGAACCTCTCAATTTCTATAGAATTTGAAAATGGAAAGATGACATGGATACCGAGAAGTACACAAATCACAAGTGTACGGCTCGATGAATCATTCACAAAGAAACACACAGCCTGTAACCTGCATCCAGATAAACAGAATGTTACCAACCTCTCAGAAGCCCATCCCCCGGACCCCGTCCAGTCACTCCCCTCCCCCAACGACAAAAATCTATCCTGATTTCTATGGCTGTAGATTAGTTTTGCCCGTTTTTACACTTTATATAAGTGAAATTCTCAATGCTGTGTAGTATTCCACTGTGTGAATGAAATACAGTATATTTATCCATTCTATTGTCGGTGAGCATCTGGGTAATTTCCATTTGGGGTCTATTATGAATAGTCCTGCTATGACAATCTAGAATATGTCTTTTGATGGGGCGCCTAGGTGGCACAGTTGGTTAAGCGTCTGACTCTTGGTTTGGGTTCATGTCATAATCTCAGGGTCATGATTTCATGAGATTGAGCCCCCAGTCCACTCCTCGCTCAGTGTGGAGTCTGCTTGAGATTCTCTCTCCCTCTCTTTTTGTCCCTCTCGCTCGTGTTCACTCTCTCTCTCAAATAAATAAATAAATATTTAAATAAATATGTCTTTCGGGGCGCCTGGGTGGCTCAGTCGTTAAGCGTCTGTCTTCGGCTCGGGTCATGATCCCAGGGTCCTGGGATCGAGCCCTGCATCGGGCTCCCCGCTCTGCGGGAGGTCTGCTTCTCCCTCTCCCACTCCCCCTGCTTGTGTTCCCTCTCTCGCTGTGTCTCTCTCTGTCAAATAAATAAATGGAATCTTTAAAAATAAATAAATAAATAAATGAACGAATAAATAAATAAATATGTCTTTTGGTAAACATATGTATTTGTTTCTGCTAGCTATGTACCTGAGTGAAATGGCTGGTCACCGAGTGTGCGTGTGTTCACCTTCCCCAAAGTGGATGTACCAATTTCCATCCCAGGAGTTATGTGTAAGAATTTCAACAGCTTCACCTTTTCCATCTTTTTAATTTAATTTTGGCCATCCTAATGGTTGTGTAGTTGTATCCTTTGTAGTCTTAATTTGTCTTTCCCCAGTGATTCCTGAGGTTGAGCATCTTTCCATGGCTATATAAGCCATCTGAACAGCATCTTTTGTGAAGTGCTGTTCGAATCTTTTGCCCATTTCCCCACTGTTATATATTATCTTCTTTATTTATTTTAAATTATGCAATACTGCATGAATTTCTTGTCCTTGCAAGAAATTAAAATACTCTAGATAAAATTCAGTCTCCATGGAGTATCCAACCCCATCCCACTTACCTCTTCAGAAATGTGTTTTCTTCCAGACCTCTTTATACATTCACATGAATGCAGCATAGTATAGTGGCTCGAGGCATTGACTCTGGAGCCAGAATGCCTGCACTAGAATCTCAACTCCACCATTTGCAAGAGCTGTGTGACCTTGGGAAAGTTATTCAATTTCTCTGTACCTCAATTTCCTCATCTTTAAAATGGGGCTGAGGGCGCCTAGGTGGCTCAGATGGTTAAGCGTCTGCCTTCGGCTCAGGTCATGATCCTGGGGTCCTGGGGTCAGGTCCCGCA